TAGCGTAGCTCATGACACTTCTTGTAAACACATTGAGTGAGTCAGTGGGTTCCCATTTAACTTGAAGTAGGATTTACATGATTAAAAAGCTCCACAAACCAGAGGAAGTAGAGATTGCACCTGCATCACAGTGCGTCCATGATCTGTCCTGATGTGTTGCATCCTGCAGGCTTTACGGAGACCAACGGTGCATCTTCAGGTCAAACGCCTGCTTCTAATCTTTACGTGAGCGCTGCCCCGCTGGGACAAATATCAGACTCCTCTGTAGACCTGCTGTGCTTTCTCTGCAGGAGCTTTCCTGTGGAGCGCTGATCTACCAGCTTCTCTGCCGTCTGCGTCTTCACATTTGGTTTTTCAGGGCTCGACAGTAACAGTCGCCAAGTTTTTGAGAAATTTTTGGCCTTTGGTTGCCATCAGCGGCATCATATGGACCGCAAGCAGTAAAACGAGCACCCTAAAATGAATGATTTTATTTGTTGCATTAGTGATATTTAAATATTTCTGATACAGTCAGAACAGACACGAGACAACGCTGCAGGTGCGTTTGTTTTATAGACAACGGTGAAGCAAGAGAAGATGTTTGAGTCTAATAACCAGATGAACCTGAACAAAAACCAAAAGGGACATTTGTGAAGTCTTTGGAGTTGAAGTATTCAATGCCTTTGAGCTGGAACATTGTACTCCAAAGCTTGTACAACAGACACATGACATGTAGATATTAATTACTCAAGATATAAGGTGATCAAAGATGGCAGTGGCCTGAAAACCCTTTTAATAGTTAGTGTCTTTCGTCGAGGTTTGAGTTTCTGTGATCCGTCGCTGCTGATTGGAGCTCAAAGGTTCTAATGTGTTTGTTCAAAACAAACTGGAAACATTTGTTTGTTTGTTTGTTTTGCAGATTTGTATCGAACTAAACTAGAGAATTAAAAAGCATTAACGAGATAATATTCTGATTCAGATTAAGAGCAAACACTCGACTGTGGAGAGATAAACGTTCTCCGAGCACCTCAGTTGATCCTTTTCACACCTTTTCCTCAGAAGCAACACTTTACAGCTGGGTGATAAAAGGCTACATATCTGTAATATATGTATATGTGTGTAAACATGTACATCTTAGGAGCAACACTGCAGATCATTCGGTCAAAGAATTATAATAAATCATCTTCCTAATAGGATAATAATGAGGCAGGAGAGGGTCATGAAGCTTCATTTTCCTGCTTTTGTGAAGTTAAATGATGTGTTGAACATCTTTAAAGAATAAAACAACGTGTGTTTACGTTACTGATGTGACTCCATGAATGAGAGGGAAAGCAGAGGGTCGTGTGTCTGAGCCGTCACTAAAATATATTCGTATTGCTTCTCATTTACTTGTATTTATACATTTATTGTATTATATTTTATAGTTATTATCTTTCCTTTAAGGAAAAGCATTTCACACCGTTGCGCTTAACCGGAGGGGCGATAAACATCTTCAATCAAATGTTTCGATTTACTTAAAGCTGCGATGTTCAGCTGCACAATGTCCACAGTCACATCTCGTGTTTCATAAAGTGCCGTGTCATGTGCGGAGCTGCGTATCGAACCGTGATATCTTTAATTGCTGTATAAAATGAATTTTTCGTGCGTTTTCCTAAAGTCCAGCAACACGTGTCAACATCCACTCGTTCCATGCAGACAGTCTTTTCAACATAAACGTCCGTCTTCAGAGGAGACTACGTGGCGAGGTTTAGGATTACGTGGATAACATACGAAAATAAGTTTGTGGGATATCTACGAATTAAGGAGCATTAATTTGCAAGTGTGTGTAATATTTCATGAGTTAAACGTTTGGTCCAGCATTTAAATAAATGATCCAACCTAAAATCACTATTGAAAAATGTGTTGGCTGATCCGAGATGAAGACAAACGCTCGACCACAACTCCTTCGTGTTCATTTCTAAATCTCAGTCCTTCAACGTTTGCTTTCCCGCACTTTCTTTTTTTGCGCTCTAGCTCGGTCACACCACCTTTCAATCTTCCACCAAACGATTCCCGTTTGGGAGCAGAGCCAAAGTGTAGGAAGCGCCTCAGAGAGTCTGCCGTGGAAGAGAAGGTGTTTCTAAGAATACAAACAATAAAAACCTCAGTGGCTCCAGTCCCCCCCCCCCCCCCCCCCCCCAGTAGGGTTGCTATCATTTCCCCAGCCAAACGCTCCTGAGATGTACAGCTACACGGTAACTGAGTTAACGGATAATCACATAACAGCAAACCCCCACCTGTCCCCACACACACACACACACACACACACACACACACACACACACACACACGCCCTTCATCGCTGTCCTATACAAGATAAATGAGCACCATCAGCCCCCTACCTCCCTGCTAGCAGATTAATGTGTAAGCGTATCCCTGGTTTCCCGCCTCCTACACACACTTCTCACTTTCTCTGTCACACACACACACACACACACACACTTTTCAGCTGCCTTATGTCAGCTCGACAGCGAATTTCCCTCCTCCGGAAACAGATGATGCAGACGGTCGACACAACGCATTTAGTCAGCGTACACATGTGTGGTGTAGAAACACACACACACACACACACACAGTTTGACAAACACGCTGTCAGCAGCTGATTGAGTCAGACATCATACATCCTATAATCTGCGGGACACATCTTGAAAACATCTCACACACACACACACACACACACAGCGATGTACGTGCCAGTTATGCTAACAGATTTTAGCTTCCTACGTGAGTCGTGGAGCCGTACCCTGCTGTGCTCACCACTACCACCATCCACCGGCGCCGCCATCCAGGGCTTAGTCATGTTCACTGTAGCTGCCAGAACAAACAGCCGCCCCAATTAATGCCCACATGCAGCTTCCTGTTAGGGGAGCTGGGTCCCCACGAGCTGCCTGCTCACCTCTAATAACACCGCCAACATCGGCTGAAGGCCGCGCTGTCACAGCGGGCAGAGCTGGATTTCTTCTTCTTTTGTATTAATCAACCTTTTTCTGTACTTTTGCAGCGCTTTTAGGTCACTACAGACGAAAACAATCAGTGGCAATGGCATCTCTAAACCAAAATATGGATATATTGGACAACAGAGTAAAATAATTGAATAGAAACGTAGTAAATAAACCTCCTTAAGGGATGAGGATGATGACTCCCGTCTGCCCACTCTCTTCCTCCTGAACGTCAATTTATTTAAAAGCTCTAAAAACAACAACTCAACTAAAACCGGAAACAGCTGCTTTCAGTAAAGGTTACACAAATAGGAGGAGGTCGTGCATTTGTTGGGGACTATTTTCAGCAGAGGTTTAATCCACATTTGGTGCTCTAGTGAGTATTTGGGGCAGCAGGATGCTGTTTGTGGGATTGAGTCAATAGAAACTCACATTTACGCACTTAAAAAGGATTTTAGTCTCAGTACCTTCTGACTTCCTTTAACAGCTGGTCAATGTAGATTTTAAATCAAACAAAACAAGAGGAAGTAGTGCTTTTGTTGGGGACTATTTTCACCGGCGGATGAATCCACATTTGGCGTTCTAGTGAGTATTTGTGGCAGCAGGACGGTGTGTGTGGGACTGGGTGAGAATAAACTGCAGTGTGTGTGTGTGTGTGTGTGTGTGTGTGTGTGTTCATGGTGATGAAGGAACTACAGTGAAGCTCATTCATGTGTTTTAATGGAGCTCTATGGCTCAGAGGAAGAAGACGTATCAGGTTTTAGTACACACACAATACTTGGTGGTCGATTGGTTTTGTTGACAATAAAGATAATAAAAAAAACTTCACTAAAGTCAATCAAACCTGGACAGAGAGAAAATATCTCAGTTGACACAATTTATAATTCCACTCAGCAGCCGAAAGTTTAAAGATTTAAAATACGTCGGGGCTGAAAATATATATATATATATATATATATATATATATATATATATATATATAATCAGTTTAGACATGAACTAAATAAAGTTAAGAGCAGATAAGAGACTAAAAAAGAATCACTTTGTAAGCATAAATCTATTAAATCATTAATCGCAACCAGACAGTAATACTCTGATGTGATCCAGTGAGAGACATAACTGTACCATAAATACGATATGAATATGAAAGATTAAAGTACTGAAGTGCCTTGATTGCTGAGAGCATGAGGGAAACTGTAGTTCAGGAGGAAGCGAGTGTGTTTGTGTGTTTGTGTGTGAGATCCCGGCTACACCGGAAGACTTCTCCACAAGTGCCTGGAAGTTGTTTCTTTATCTGCTGAAACGTGTTAGAAGGCGGCTGCTGTCAAAGCGACGCGCTGCTTATCTTCCCGCCGAGCGTCTTTCCAACAGAGGACGGCGGATTTCTATTTTACTGTTTAATTTAATTTCTTAGCGGACAGACGGATTGTAATTGTTTTTTTTCCTCTCTTTGAAAACGTGTTAATCTAAATGTGTTTCAGCCCAGACGGGAGATGAATAGATTGACCGTCTGTGTGTGTGTTCATACCTGTAGCACTGCAGTGTCATGTGTGTGTTCGTTTGTGCCTGCAGGATTGGTTCGGGTTTGTATGTGTACAGATAAGCTTTATTTCCATGCTGTACACCCTCGACTGATTCATCATATCGTAGAGAGTGTGTGTGTGATAACCGTATTCCTCCAGAGCTCGGGTTGAACGCATTACAGTACACTCATTTAGCAGACGCTTTTATCCAAAGCGACTTACAATTCAGAGTCTATCACATTTCTCCACCGTAGGCACAGCTACGGGAGCAATTTTGGGGTTAAGTGTCTTGCTCAAGGACACATCGACATGCGACAAGCGGAGCCGGGGTTCGAACCGCCGACGCTCTGATTGAAAGACGGCCCTGCTATCCACTTAGCCATAATTGCTCCCCCTGAACGGGGCACACTGCTGTGTTTCTCGGGTTGTACGGACAAATGGCGCCACACAGGATTCGTGTTTTCTCACACATTTGTGTCCGTGTGTGTGTGTGTGTGTGTGTGTGCGTGTGTGTGTGTACCTGTAGTGTCGCGTGTCTCTCAGGGCCCGGTTGCTGGGGATGCGTTCGCTCTCCCTCTGGTTGAAGGCGTACAGGGTGTACGGGTCGTCGCCGGGCTTCCAGCGCCGAGCGCTCAGGTAACCCCGCTCGTCAAAACCCTCCAACATGTCCTCCCACTCTGCATCCGACATCTGTCAATCAAACACAAAGAAAGTCAGACAATTAGTACGACAATTAATGACAATTTTTAGTCTGGGAAAAGATTTTTAAAAGAGAATTGTTTGCTTGTTTGTCCAACCAGCAGTTGCAAATCTGCACATCCAGGCTACTGCACCTCATCCTCTGACAGTAATACACTTTATTTATAGCACTTTTCAAAACAAAGTGCTTCACATGGTTGAACAAAACATTTCAAGACTGCAATCAAATTAAAATGGAAATACAATACCCAAAAGGAATATAAAGCATAGAAAGCAATAACATTAAACAGACAAAACGTTGGAAATGAAATGGTGCACTCGTGTTTTGATCAAAGGGCACAGATGCATCCATGCATTCTTTGCAGCTGCTGGGTACCACTTATCTGCACAATAAAACAATATTTTCTCATCTTTTTTGTCAAACCAGATCTCACAGGAAGGTGTATAAATAGCACAAATGTCAATAATACGCTTTTCATTTAACGCCACATTGTTCTAGTAAAACAGTCGCGGTTATGTTTAGGCAACAAAACCACCGAATTAGGTTTAAGTAAAACATCCCGGTTAGGCTTCAAATAATGACTTCAACCAAGTATAATACATACGGACACAAACGTCACTAACGCAACTTAATAAAACACTTTGGGACACTGGTGTCCTGGTTTGTTGGACACATCCAGTGTACACAGTCGCTCTCATATCGTACACTACGTCACAAAGTTATACCGACTGGTCTCATCCAGCATTCGTAGCTATACTTACATCACTACAGTGATTATCAGTGAATCAGAGATCCCGGCCGTTGGTGTCATTCACAAGAGTGAAGCTGCGTTAAACCCTCAGTAGAGAGAATGTTTGGTGCTTTTGTTGACTGACATTTTCTTTGCATCAGTCATCAAACAGGACGACAACTGAATGTGAGATTTAGTCATAAATCTCACATTCAGAGTCTGGTATTGTAACCTGTGATTATCAAAGCACAGAGACGCCGAGTGAGTGTGTGTGTGAGTGTGTGTGTGTGAGTGTGTGTGTGTGTGTGTGTGTGTGTTGGCTCTTTAAAAGCACCGAGAGCTTTTAGAGGTAATTTTAGCAGAAGAAGATTCAGAGGCTTTTTAACTTGCTGCTCTTGGACTTTAACAAGATGAACGTTGGACTGAAGCTTTTCATCGTCTCTGTTCTCTGCTGGTTTGTGACTGAATGCTGCACTTTGTCTCTCTGCAGCTTGTTACTGCACCGATCTGTGCTGGAGGCTTTACGCTGGTTTGTGCTTCAACATCTTCTGATCATTGAAATTCAACCTCAATAAATATACACTTCTCAGACTACAGCTGATCAGATCATGTCCGCATATTTCTCCCTGTGTTTGCAGACTTTACAGGTACAAAACAAAGAATCAGAAGATATGAACAACTGAATAATAACTTAAATCAACCCCTTTTTAATTTTGCTGGTGTTTTTGCATCCGTTTTGCACACTTAAACCAAACCAAACACACCAGAGTTCGCTTGAACTTCAGCAGCCTGAGCAGGTTTGAACCTCTGTCCCTGTGCTTTAGATGAATGTTTTCATCAAGACATCCCTTCAAGAGAAAACGCCTGTTTCAGCGCTTTCTCTAATGTATGAAAATCACATGCAGAGGCTTAAAAACGTGCTGGAGATGCAGAAGGCGATCCATCTTACCTTTAGGTTGTTGGTCACTTATCAGTTATTGGTAATGAATGAGCATTCAATTCATTTTGACGCGTGAGAATTGATGGCTGGCTGCTTAACTGCACTGGTAAATCAACCCCTGAGGACCAATAGACACGAGGACGCTACGTCTGCAGCCTGAATAACCTCTTTTTAAGCAGAATCATGGTTTTTATTGTTTTTTTTTTCAATTTACAACTTTAACCAAGTGTTTGAAACTGTTTAAAGCTGTGACCGTAGTAACAGTAATGTGGTAACGAAACGTAATTGAGAATGCAGTTTAGTCGAATGGGAACGTTATTTTACAGGAGACAGGTTTTTTATGTGGATGATGTGAAAACGCTGAGAATTTGTTCTTTTCTTGCATTTAAAAAATGTTTTTTTAGCCGCTCATTCTCAGATGTCAGGGTGTCCTTGAGCACATACATACAACATAACTTTGACAACAAAATAAAGATAATAAATGTTCACTGTGATGAGGCTTGTTTCAGATCTCTGCAGGTTGATTTCCTTGCTACTGCGAATAAATGGAAATCAATACGAGTGCCAGGAGGGAAGGAAATCCCCCTTAAAACTTCCAGAATGCTTTGGAAAATAGGCTGCAATAATGTACAACATATGCAATTACTAGGTAATGAGCTACAGCATGCAAAAGCAGCTGTTTGGCCCTTTATTATGCTAATCAGAGGGCAAGTTCTCAGTAGAAAAGAAACAACAGTTCTGCTTCATGTTATTCTGCAGAAGAACCAGAACGATCCCCGTGCAGAGAAGAAACCACCAACTCTGCAGAACCCCCCCCCTCCTCTCTTCAGAAACACCCAAACGTTATAAAATTTGATGTAAAATGTTAATGTTGCACGTAAATCCTGTTCCGCTCCGAACAGCTGGTGGAGGAAAACACAAGGTGGCAACGACTTAAAAATATATATATATACACTATAGAAAAACAGCTTCAGCTGCACTTTCTGTCCGTCGGAGCTCTGCTGTGAGTGTAGTTTAAAAGAGAGAGGATATCATTCATGAGACAGTACAGATGCCTGTGCCTGCAGGAAGGAGTGTGTGTGTGTGTGTGTGTGTGTCTGTGTCATTCATGAGTGCAGGTATCTTTTCGAGAGGATGAGGAGTGTGTGAGTGTGTGTGTGTTTCTGTTGATGGAGAGTGAGTGTGTGTTTCTGCATTTGTTTGTGCGATGCATAACACAGAGAGAGAGAGAGGAAGTGTCTTTGAGGGCGAGATACATAATGGAT